TATATATATATATATATATATATATATATATATATATATATATGTCTCTGCTAACAACACGATACGGACCCCACACATCCAGATGCACTAAACACTAGAGACCCCAGACTTGTAATTACTCATGTTAAACTTGTGGATCTTTTTTGCCTTGAATGGAATCCGATTCCATGTCCCCCTAAACCAAACGAGCCCTAAGAGTTGGTCAAACCCTTTTTAGAAAAGATGTTAACCATACAAAATAAATTGGCTAAAATATAATTTTTTATTGACCCTCCTATAGCTTATAATATACTTTTTGGAGGGATTCTTCTATCTAAAGATCTATATCTATATATGTATTAATGTATAAATAAAATGAAGGTCATAGGGCATGAAGTAGTATTTTGAGATTTAAGTATTAAAAATATTCAATTGTGGTGTTGTTTTCGTTATTCATATTGATGGGGGAAATGATAGATTGAAGATCATTATATAATAAAAGAAAATTAGTAAATGTATGAAATATATTATAATATATGAATTGTAGTATTGTTTATGCTACCTTACGTTATGGATCACATAAGAGATTGGAGAATGATTATGAATATATGAAAGGAGAAGATACGTATTTGAAAATTAAAATGGTTATTTGGCTAAAGTATGCATTCGATTCATATCTTACAGAAAAAACGATATAAAAATAAAATTTAATTGAATATTTATGAATAAAAAAGAAAATGGTAGAGGTTTGAATTGTATAACAAGATTTGAGTAGTAATTTTTTTTTTTTTTTTGAATTATAATGTTATTTTGATTATATAACTTTGTCTATTTATTTAAAATATTCATTAAAGCCAAATGTCATATTGTTTTTACATAAATTTGTATCATCGTGCAACGAGCGATGTCGAACACTAGTTAGGTTAAAAAGTGTTTAAATTGGAATAATTGGATTGTTAATTGTTTAGCTTCAAATTACTAACCGTTGCGGTTAACCTTTTTATGTACTTGACATATATGCATCTATGTTATCTCATTTTATAATGTAATCAAAAGATTGAAAAAGTCATTGCAAGACACTTCTTGTCGCTTATAGGATGATGGTCTTTACCAATAACTTTATCATTTTATTGACCGAGAATCTTATCCAATAATTGAGAGAAGTGACTTTTACCCAATTAGTACTTACAGGGTAAAACATGCTTGCTAGTCAGAAAGCTGGTGTTCACCAATAATCTTATTATGTTATTTTAATGACCAAAATTTTTACTCAGTACGATTAGTAAAGGTGGTAACTCTAACACGATCACATTCACCGTGTCTATGTTTGTAAACAACTCCTAAATCAATTTTAAAGCCTTAAGACCTTTTTGTTAACAGCTTAATGAGTTTAACATGACTCACAACTTATTCAGTCAGCCATGCATGGCTGTTTTGGCTTAATGATATATAAAGTAGTTTATTTAATAAGTTTCTTGAGAGTGGGCTTTATACAAAAAGTCAAGTTTTCTTAAAACTTGTCACTCCCAATTAAAAACACGCTCTTTTTATCTATGAAAAAACCCTCACAAAATATACACATTAATCCACACCGATAACTTTATTCACACAGAACTGAATGCAAAACTAACCAAACAACCCGTTAGTGACTTGAAAAAAGGGATGTTATTGATAAAGGGGACAAAAACTTTTGATTCCAAGAAAATGGAACAAAATGTCATATAGATCTAAAGCTCTCCTAGTTTTTACTCGAATTGTGTAAAAGAGAAAAAAAAGTTGTTCACTCACCTTTTCATATCTTTTTTTAACGAGTAACCTGTCAATCTTATAAATATTTAAAAACGGTTAACCAAAGATTTGCACGGACTGACAAATGATTTGGCTTAAAACACTCCTTTCAAGAAAAAAGAAGCATAAAACAACCATGAACTATCTATATGCTTGCAAAGATTCGTGTGTCCATCTGCTGCTGCTGCTGCATTTTGTCATCTCCAAAACTGAACCAATAATCTTCAAGAATGCTTTAAATTACATTATACAATCTCAACCCCTACTACAAAACCGAATGAGAATGTATGAACCATGTTTTAGAAAGCCTAAATCTCTCATCAAATTGATGGAATCTTGAAGTAGTCCGGATCAAAGTGATGCAATCTCACATAACCGTCTTCACCTCCACTTGAGAAACTATTATTACGATTCAAAATATATACATCAGGTAAAGAACATGCATTTTGTCATCTCAAATGGGTAAAAGAGAACGGTAGAAAAAACTGAATGCGCATAGAGGAAACAAGTTTTACAAGTGTATATATCAGTGTCTTCTAAAAACAATTATACAAACTAGAACTAGATGCTTTTGTTAATAGAAAAGGATCAGAACTTTTAGAAAGCAGTTGAGGTCAAAATTTGACTACAGATCGTTCTCCAACACAAAAATAAGACCCACATTTTGTCACTTTTTTTGGCTTTCTATCACCACCTTTAGTTGTTGCATATTAACCTTCCCTTCTTACCTTCTTATGATACTTAGCCCTCTTATTTGAACCACAAAGTTGCTTCATAGGGTATACTTGGACAGGCAGTAGAGAGTAGAAGGTTGAGTCTGCCAGTCACAATGTGAGAATTACAATTCATTTGGGGATTGGACTCCTTGTGGCACTGGGATTTTAAACCAACCACCTAATGGGCTTTTGTGTACCTAATTTCCCACTCATATGGGGGCTCTTTAGAGTGAAGGTGAGAGCACGTCCCGGGGTTGTCAGTTACAAACACTTTTGCACGAACAGTTTCGAAGTAATGACAAATTGATAATTGAGAAAAGGCAAGCTTACAACAGGGGTAGTAGGTATTACAATATTTAAAAATTTGTAATTAAGAGTAAAGAAAATGGGATGAAATTATACTAACAAAACTAGTGTAGAGAGCATGTGTACTTCAACTACCAACTAATGTAAAATCGACTCAAAAGTAAAAAAGATGTATTCAATGTAACAGCAGCAACCACTGATACATAAAGATAAATTGGATCAAAAAAAATGTACCTTTTCCCATCAGGGTTGAATGCCAAAGCATTTATAGGACCGAAATGTCCTTTAACGCCTCCAATCTCTTCTTGTAAAATCTGGTACACACAAGTAATATTACATAGATCATTAACATATGCCATATTGACAAAATATCATTAAACTATGGATATATCGATAGAACAGATCCAAATCCAGTAGAAAACATATAACAAAGTGTTGCGTAAAGATATTCATTTACCTTATCATAAAACTTGGCTTCAAATTTACCAGCACGATGATCGGTTGTGGTAACAGCGGAAGCATCCTGGCCACCTCCAAGCACCACCTGACAGGTTTCAGATTGTATCACACTCGTTCACAAAAAATGCAGTGTTCACTTGTCATGTAGTTTAATGAGTCTTTTCATTAATCATTTAAATACCTAAAATGCCCTTACCAAGACAAAATTGAGAATCTCACTTGTGGACTGAAATCAATGTCACAAGAATCTTGCAAATTGCTGAGCAAATAGGTAAATTTTGATAGAAATCTTACTAAAAAATAACATTTCCTTTTGGGGACAACCCAAGATAGAAAATGATGCACTTTTTGAGACAACCGAAGATAGAAAACGATGCACTTTTTGAGACGTAGGGATTATATCTTTTCCTTCTCTAGGTACCGCCATTCAAGACGAGGACTGAGATGTTTAGGGTTTATTGATCCCTAAAAAATCATTTTCTCTTATATAGTATTTTCCTTGAAGATTATTGGCAATGACATTAAATAATGTTAAAAAAATATAATAAAGTTGTGATTTATATTGATATATGCCACATGGTGATGTAAAATTGTCATAGGATTAATCTGAAAATTAGAGGTAATGTGTATGAAACAACTAGCTACAGGAAGGTCGATTAAAGACATGTGCATCACTAGTGTCTGCATTTCTATTTTAGATTGTTCTAAAATAAGTTACCACTTTTTCAAAAGTAATTGTCTATTTTCCAATTCTACCCATAAATATGAGATGAAGAAATTCATTACTCCGTATATTATTAAGGGTGAAATTGTAACTTAGTTGTTTAAAAAGTGTAATAATTTACACATATCTAAAACTGTGTGCCTTTTTCATAGTGGACATTTATTTTGGAAAGAAGAGAGCAAACTGTTTCCGCAAAGCACGCTTAAAAATGAAAAACAAGCTGCTTATCATTTTTCAAGTGCATAGTTACAGTTTTTTGCCCTCCAGAGAAGTGATAACACTGCTAAAGTCACAAAAAATGCATAAATCACTAAAACATAAAACAAAAACTCAGTTAAGAAAAATAATTGAACTCCAGACACCAAGTTCATAAAAAGAACAAGGGAGCTAATATATATATATATGTTAGAGATGAGACCCAATTCATAATATAGACAGGAAGCCACAGCAAAATATCATCCAAGAAATAAAGATTATTTAGAATCTCATGGAACTTACATGATTAAGAAGTGGAGACATCGCGACGGCATTGACTGGCCGTTCAGTAAAATACGTCTTTATCAATGTCAACGATCTGATATCCCACAACTAATAATTTGGAAAAAGAGAGGCAATCAGAATGCTTGTTACAGGATTACAACACCATGAAAAGTGATGAAGAGAATAGATTACCTTCGCTGACTTATCTAGAGACCCAGTGAGAAAATGTGAGCCATCAGTGGATTTTGCAAGTGATGTAACTGTCTTTTTGTGACCAACTTCCTTGTCGTTTTCTTGCAGCAATTTTCCTGTCTGTCATTTCAAAAGGCGATGTTAATTGCGAGTTGAGAAATATTACGAGTGAAAACAGAATAAACATAAGGACGATGATGGCCTGAATAAAAACGGAAAAAAGAAAAGTAAATTAATAAGCCAACAATCTTGCAACAAAAATAAATTCACAGGCAACTTGAATTATAACCATAACATGATTTGTTTGCTTAAAGTATATTATTCACTTGAGTATTTTATTAACTAGGAGCATTGTATTTCCAAACTAATGATCAAGATTGATTGAAAAATGTTACATCCCATCTGTAATATTCGAATAAAAAAATATGATTTGACAACACAAAAATCATAAAATTTCAGTGAGGATGGTAAACAGATTTGTCCTTCTAATCTCATAACACTACGAATCTAACCGTTGAAAGATAAATTAAACTTCCACCTTTGATTTCTCATCCGCGCATAATTAAAATATGAATATGTGAATATGTTAATATTCCTGAAGACACTACCAGCTATTTTTTATATGAATGCCTCTGCCCAAATTCAGCATTCTTCTACATGCATTGAATACTAAATAGCATTGTTTGTTGAATTATTCTTTTAGAATTCTGCAACTACTGCTTTAACTGCTAATAAGTTAAACTGTCTTAAATGTAAAAAGCACACCTCTGTATCCCAAATTCGAACAACAGCATCTTCACCAGCGCTAATGATTGTCTTGTTCAGAGGTCCCCAAACAGCTCTATTGATCCTTCCTTGAGGACCCTTAAGAACTAGTACAGAATCACCAACCTCTGAAAAGTTACACCAATTAGACCGTAAGCTATTTAAATTATAAAACCAATGCACAGAGATAAAGCTGCTTTCTCGCATGCCATATGCAGAAAGAGTAAGAAAACTTGTACATAAAAACTTCCAAAGTTGCCTCGGAATCAAGACTACTGCATATTCCGGATCTTAGAAATTATAATCTCCTCCAGTTTACAGAGAGAGCTTATTTGTTTCAGAGAATAAATAACAAGAGTAAAAATAACTTTATCCAAATATAAGAAGAGTATCCCCCAATTTTACATCAATTATAAGATATTAACATTATGCATAGAATGTCATTCAGATATATATATATATATATATATATATGTAGGGGCCCATTCAAGGGAGAACTGATTAGTTTGTGGTAACTGTGAGATCCAATCTCAACCACAAATCAACGGATAAATTAGGAAATTAATAATTATGGTAGTTTGAGTTAAAATTATAATTAGAGGGTTTTTAGGTATATTTAAAAAAACTCCTCTCTCCTCTCTTATTTCTCCGACCTCCAATCTCCAGCCTCCGGTGAACATTAATCCGGCAGGTACCAAGTAATCACAAAGATACACAATGTGATACCCATTGTGATATATTATGATACCATTGTGATACCAACTATGTTACCAACTCAAACCTTAAAAACAAAGATACACAATGTGATACCCATTGTAATACACAATGTGGTACCCATTGTGATATACTATGATACCCATTGTGATATACTGTGATACCGATTTCACCGGAGGTCGGAGATTGGAGGTCGGAAAGATGAAAGAGGAGAGAGGAGTTTTTTTAAAAATACCTAATATGCCCTCTAATTATAATTTTAACTCAAACTACCATAATTATTAATTTCCTAATTTATCCGTTGATTTGTGGTTGAGATTGGACCTCACAGTTACCACAAACTAATCAGTTCTCGTTTGATTAGGCCCCTATATATATATATATATATATATATATATATATATATTGCTAATAAGAGATACCAACAAAGAAATGATGCCCCTAATTCTAACAAGATCACAAGAAATCTAGATATTTGAATCCAAATGAATTTGCCACCTCAATATATGACCTTTTGTCACTCATAAAAAATCAAGAACACCCAGGGAACAGGCACCTTTGTGGGCTATAAGCTGTCCTGCAATTTCTCTATCATTTAAAGGGTGCTCATCAGCATTCATGAATGGAAAATGACATCTTTATTGGTTTTCTTGCTTCTACATACCACCTCTTGTCACCCTCCTCAAAATTCAGACAAAAAGACAGCAATATTATCTTTCACCAATTTCCAGATGATGATCAAGTTTCTACCTCTCTTGGGCAAGTGTCACCACTGTTCATTAACCTCTTTTTCTACCATTTTTCTCAAGCCTTAAAGTGATCATTTAAAATCACTATTTACCACCATTTACAGCTATTCAGCTCTCATAAACAGTAAGGGGCAGTTTACCAACCGCTTACTCGGGGAACTGCTTACCAAGTCACATTAACTCACCGAATGAATATGGTAAGGACCAAGAATCTTACCCAGTAAGAGCGAGACAAGGACCAAGAGTCTTACCCGGTAAGTGAGGGCGACGACTCTTACCATGATAAGCGCTTACCGGGTAAATTGTTGCATGCGATGTTGTTTTGGTGGACTAAAATCTTACCCGATAAGTAAATAATAGTGTTAGATTTTATTGGTAAGCACTTACCGGGTAAGTATTTGATAAACGGCCCCTAAGAGTAAAACACTAAACATAAACTCCATGAGTGCCTGAATACATGTATAGCCCAAATCTAACAATATGAATAACCGACTCTTCCTTCAAAATAGAACAATAAAGTAACTTTAATATTATAAGTATGTCAGGCAAATTTGTAACAGCAAACTCACGGTCATCAGGGTCTGCTGCAATGCGTTTGACATGGATAGCAGAAGTCAAACCCATAAAAGGGTCAGTGGTGATAACAGCAAGCTTATCACCAACAGCAAAATCAACAGCTCTAGCAGGTGAATCGAAATTGAAAGTGAAAAGTTGTGTTCCACTCTGAACATCCCACAGCTTAGCCGACTGATCCGCACTACCAGTAATCAATCGTGTGGAATCTCCTGCAAAATTAGTCACAAATCAATTGTCTATTAGTCCACCGTAAAAAATAAATAGAAAGCCGGTTCCTGTGCTAGTCCAAGTAGCAAAACCAAATCTGTATACAAACCTAGGAAAAAATAGGATAAACAATCTATCAATCAGCCYAGCGAAACAAACCAAATACCCAATAACTGGTGCAAAATCCAATTAACAATAAAAGGAAGTTACGCAAAACCAATTGTTAACCAATAAAAACAACGATTAATAATAACAGAGTCAACCCTTAGCTAATTGCTGATAAACAAAATTTACACAAAACCCAATTGATAATACAAAAAACCAGTTGTTAATTTGACAAAATAACAAGACTCAAAGAGGTAGAGAAAGAAAGGAACTCACTTGACACATCACAACACCAAACGGCACCATTGTGGCCAGCGTATGTTCCCAGACGCTCGCCATTATCAGCAAACCAAACAGTGGGGGTATGATCTTTGGCGCAAGAGAACAGAAGATCTCCATCCCTGTTATACTTGAGGAAAGTGAGTGGCCTCTCGTGCCCTTTCATCAATATCGGCCTCATCTTTGCTTTGGTTTGTCGAAAATTTGATTGAAAAAAACTGGAGCTCTTAGATCTCCTTAACCTGGGAAAACTCTTCAGACATTAGTTACCCTAAACTAGGAACAAATAAAACCAAAAAGGGAGAAACCATTGAAGGTCTCAACCTTAAACTAAATAAAGCAACAAGCAGCCACGGATGAACAAATACACAAAACCAGGGACCAGTTAAGGTCTCAACTTCCTTTTTTTAACCGCAACAAACTTTACAGCAGTAACAACTGACCATCATTCAACAACGATTTTTGTTGCCCATCATACAACAACAAATTTATCGGCTAACATTGTACAACGTAATCACACAAACCAAAAGTTCATCAAGTAAACACATGTTTTACCACTAAAATCAACAGTATAGCATCAAGAACAAAACATATTCATCAGAAGCAGGGAAGTGTGATACATCTATTGCAAAGATTCGGATTTTACAAAAAAAAAAAGCTTCAGATTTTACAAATAAAAAAAGCTTCAGATTTTACAGATAAGAAAAACAGATCTACAATTTAAAAAGAATACAGAGAAGGAATTTACAAATCAGAATCATACCAGAAGGCGACGGCGAAGCAGAGGGGGTGGCAACGGCGAAGCAGAAGGGGTGGGGTTTATCGTTTCAGGGAGCTTGTTGATTTGAGAAGGGTATCGAATTCGATTAGAAAAGGRAGAATGGGCCACTAAACCCATTATTTGGGCCTGGTCCAATAAAATTTGGAAACAGAACAAAATATATAAAATAATAATCTACTTTCATAAATTTTTTTATAAAATAATAAATGAATGATTTATACCATCAATCTAATAGACAAACATTTGTAACAATATATTTAAATTTTATTACATAATAAAACATTATAAAAAAATAGTAATCACAAACAATATCAATAATAATTTTATTAATAAAAATTATTATTTCTTAAATTGTGGATTTAGTCTTTAAAGTTTGTCATTTATTAAGGAACTCATTTTTTTTTATATTCATCCTTTCCAAAAGAACCCTTCATGTGCGTAATTTGTATTGGATGTCCCTCACACTGACGGCCATCAATTAATTCTGTTAGGTATGAGAACAAAATGGTCAATTTACCGTTTCTCTTTAATTAATTTACTTTTCAGTTATAAAAAATTAAACCCTAAAATAACTCTCTCCTTCACCCCTTCGTTATTTATCGCCCTCATTGGAACCAAGAATCATGTCCCAAATTCGTTATGTATATACGCATGTATGTACCTACACATGCATGTATGTATGTGTGTCCACATACGTATGTATATATGTATATAAAAAGATGAGCTCATTTGAGAACCTTAAATATTTTGAGAAGTCAAGGAACCAATCTCAATGTGTGGTCACTTTTAATTAAGGATCAAAATTTATGATGACATTTTTGTGAGTAAAATGGATATTGGAAGGAGTCATCGGTGATATAGAGATCTATTAAATATATTAAGGGTAAATGTAGTATTATATGGAGACTTGTTTGTTGTTGGTCTCAGTCGRGTCTACAAGAGTTTTAGAGGAACAATTTGTAGAAGGGGGGGATGAATACAAACACATAAAACTTTTGTATTTAAAAATATATATTGATAAAAAATGATCAATACARATTTTTTGCAGATTGTTTGCAGAAATAGCAAAGGTAAAGATAACTTATCTAAAACAATCTAAGATTACACACAAATATACTTAGCAAATAGAAAAAATTTGCTGGAAAGATAAAGACAGAAAGATGTTCTTCTTGGGTAAGAACTTTAGAATTCTTGAGAGATATTCTAACTTGCTTGAAGATAAGTGTATGTGTTCTTTTGATAGATGTGTGATCTCTCTTGCATGAAGAGAGCACTTAACTATTTATACTCATTGCTTAAATGCAAATCAGAGGGGTTGGAACATGCGTCAAGCTTTAAGAGGAAAGCTTGTCCTTTGCAACAGTGAATAGTACATTTGTCTATTCATGAGAAGACATCCTTTTGTGGAGTTGGTGGGCACTAGAGTCGACTAGTCGGCTCCATGCAGTACTATACTCTTGAAAGGGTATGGGTTTGTCCTTTGTGTATGGAAGGACAAGACAAAAACAATCGTGCATGGCAAGCTTCATTTAATCGCTGAATGTTGGAATAACGATGGAGGTCTTTACAGCATTTACTAAGGCTTGTACGATCTTCACACATATTTTGACCAGGTTGTAATCACTAAATACCGCTTCAGATCATGAATGCGCCAGTCACTAATCTTCAGTTTAGTCTTCGACATTCACTAAAGGTTCTTTGGTGTGAGTTTTATCTTCTTGAAGTATCGTTATCGCTGTAGGATTACAATGCGTGTTTCAACGATCACTAAACAGACTCAGTGATGATCGTTGGAACTGAAAAGACAAAAACAATAATACTTCGAAAGGTAAAATAGATTATCATCAAATGAATGAAAGAGTGGATCAACAATATCCCTCTATTGGATGATGACAAAGCAACATAAAGAAAATTGTCTTAAGATTTAATAGTAAGCAAAAGTTACATATGAAGTACATGTTCCTTTTAACTATTTTGGGATATTTTTCAGTGATGCAGTCTTTACTTTATAAGTTTTCTTAAGTTACAAGTTTAAGAAAAAGTACAAGAAGGGAAACTGAAACTGAAAGCATGTTCACTGACTAAAGATTGTCAGTGACTGTAAAAGCATATTGGAACTCATAGACATGTGTCCCTATTACTCTTTTTAGGAATCTTTTTTAGTGAGGCTGATGAAATACTTATATTAATCAAAGAAAAGTTACAAGTTTTTCAGTCAGTACATTTCTAGACTTATTACATATAAGTTGTACACTGAAAGAAAAGATATAGAAAAATAAGACATACAATGAAAGATAAATTCACAAGACAGGATTTCATAACTAATCTAGGTCGCTGAAGTCGATGTAACCATGTACTTCTTCTCCAAATATCTTTTGACGTAGAAATTCTCTTCTGATCTTGCGATCTATCATTTCACCATAGATGTCATTGTCCAACCAATACCTTACATAATCAAGGTGTTCTATAGGACAAAGATTAAACTCAGACACTCTCTAGAAGTTGTGTTCGTCTTCATAGTCAAGGAAAACAAATCCAAACTCATGCTTTAAATGCACAGTATTGGGTATGTAGGGACCCTTCGCTAGCAAAGAGAGGTTCAGCATGGAGATGTATGGCTTCTTCGAATCCTTCAGGACTTCGTCCAAGGAGAACTTTGTTTCATGTTCATTCCTCAGAGTTGGTCCGTCGTTGGGACTTGAAGGTTTTCTTCTTCCACCTTTCTTCAGTATTGGCTTGTAGGTACAACAACAAACTTGAACATCTTCTTGATCAGCTCGCTGAGGATGTCTTCGATCATTGGCTTGTGCCTTGACTTTGAGCGCTGAATGGTTTGGCGGATTTCCATTCATTCACTGTAGCCGTATTGACCTAGGTAGTAAGGATACTCTGTGACAGCTTCAAGGTTGTCTCTAGTGATGAGCATTGAGAGGAGAAGTCCACCATCTTTCATTCGTCCATTGATTGTGACGCTTGAGATACAGTGAGGGCTTATTCTCTTGTTCATATGATCTTCGCTCCATTTTCTGTCTCGGTCGTTCAGCTTCATTGCTTTTTCATGTTCAGCCTCTGTAATGGAAAGCAACTTAGCTTGGGCCTTGACAACGTTCACCATCTTTTTAGACTTTTTCTTTGGAAGAACTTCAGCAGCAAGAGACTTGGCCAGATTTAGACTGTCCTCAGTCTRTTGTCATTGAAGATTAAGTTCTTCTTCAGACTTGAGTGCCTCGAGTCTTTCGGCTTCAGATGGAAATCAAACTCACCACATCTAGAGGTAGGAAGAGGGATTTTTACTCTAGTTTGATCGAGTGACTCCTTGTTGGTCCCGTAAGGGTCTACAAGAATATAAACAGTTTGTAGAAGGGGGGATGAATACAAACACAGTATTTTCAAATTTAAAATATATATTGATAGAGAAGATCAATACAGATTTTACAAGACTATTTGCGGAAAGATAAGGTAAAGAAAACCTATCTAAACAATCTTTGGTTACACATAGATCTTTAGCAAATACAAGAAAAAAGATTGCTAAAAGGAAGATCTTTTACTTAAGCTAGAAGATGCTTGAAGTAAGAATAGGATAGCAAAGAGATGCGCATTTTGCATGGAGAAGAAACACTTCTATTTATACCCAGTGCATTAAATGAACATTTAATGCAATATGGTAGGTTTAGAGTGCGTGTCAAGCCTTAAGAGGAAGGCTTGTCCTTTGCTACAGTGAATAGCACAAAAGCACTATTTTTTAGCAGACATCCTTGCCTAAAGTTGGTGGACAAAGAGTCGACTAATCGGCTCCGTACCGTACTAACTTTTGCAAGGGTATGGGTTTGTCCTTTGTGTGCATAAGGACAAGACAACAACAATCGTGCTAAGCAAGCTTCCTTTGATCGCTGAATGCTGGAATGACCTAGAGGTCTCATCATCATTCGCTGAAGCTAGAGCAGTCTTCACACATATGTAGTCAGGTTTGTAATCACTGAATACCGCTTCAGATCACGTACTTGCCAGTCTCTAATCTTTAGTTTCAGTCTTCGACGTTTGCTGAAGGTTCTTTGGTGT